GCACACACACACAAACTCATACAGCATATGGAATGTCTCAGTCTTGGTGGATGTGAGGCCCGTTGCCAAATATTGATCAATTCATTGGCTTTGACTGCCAGCCACAGAGTGCAGAGCTGCAGCAGTATATTGACAGACCCGTTTTTACACTTCAGTGTTCAGTGAGGAACATTTATTAAACCTGCCACCCACAGCCTCCACGATTCACGACACACACACACACACACACACACACACACACACACACACACACACACACACACACACATGTGCGCCGGAGAATGCTTTTACGAGCCATGTGATTGCCCCGTAGGTAGGGATTGGAAGGCACGGTGAGTTCCTCATGCAGAGAGTCAAAATACACAAAGTGAATGTTCACCAGCAAACAGTCAGAGCAGAATATGGTAACAGGAAAAACACTTGAGTGCTGGGTTTACTGTGCGCTGGTTAGACATAGTCTATGGTGAAACATCACCCTATCAAGATTCAGATGGTCTAGATTAGAGTAACAGGAACATTAATACAGAAAGCATGATTAGATGTTCATCATTACTAGGAGATATTTTAATTTTCTTTTTACGTGGCTGACCTCACATCAAGGTCATCTTCTCTTGCAACTCTGAACTTTTTTCAGAGTTTTTTTAGGTCACGCCATAGAAGTCTGATCATGTTCCTTGGTAAATGTGACTGTGCAATAGAGAGTAGTTGTCCTCCAGTTTTTTGAAAAACAAAAGAAAAATGTTCATTTCATTGTGAGGAAGTGAATGGACTTACAAGTTGTGCAATTAGGACAGCTGGTAAATGAAAATTGTGTGGTCATACCAAAAACTTCTCAATGAAGTTCTGCTATCACAGAATGCATGCACCATAGTTCAGGTCATGTCCAGTGAAGTCAATGTGCCATAATAACCATTGTATTAACGATATATTTAATAACGCTGCACAGCAACAGTTACTCAAAAAACACTTTTTATCCATAACAAGAACAGCAAAGAAACTATACAACAGAAAATGCAAATGCTATTTATGCTCTCCTCATAACAATGATAAGAAAAAATAAACTGGGCCAATAAGACATGCTTGTTATTACAGGGATATACATGTTAATGTGATCCCCCCCTGCTTTGTATTTTGCCAGTTCTCTTATCTGGGGTTCATACTTGGCAAATAACACTCTCAAGGAAAAGAGCACATACAGCACTATCTTTCTGTTGAACAAAACCCCTGTCATAAAAGACGATTTGGCGAATACAAGATCATAAAATAATCTTTTTTTCGCTTGCTTCAAGACCATATTTCACAGGACTGATTAGTTAGCAACATCCCTCTCGCCGGTAGGCTAAGTGATTTTTAGCCAATTACAAGTTGAACTCGGTGGGTGGGGTTGTTGGCTAAGATGCAATGATTAAGAAATGGCGCAACTGATGTGTCTATGCAAGCTAATTTGTGATATGCACTGGTAATAGATATTTAGTTTTTAATGCACCTTCTCTGTGCATGTTGTGCCATCAGTTAACCCTTCGCGTGCCAGCATGAGTGCCCAGGGTTGCCGGCCCCTGGTCTACAACACTTGAAATATAAATAGAAACGAGGTTGAAAAGACTACGAAAAAAATTATTTTAAAATCGGATAAAAGGCATTTCTGTTCAAGAAGTTGTTTTCTTTGTTGGGTAATAGGGTAACTATAACAGCACCACACAGGACAGGACAGGGCACGGTACCTCTCCATCATGGTGGCTGCCTCCTGCTCTCTTTTCCGTCTCTTTCTCTCAGCAATGCCTCGGAAAGCCCTGCCGGGACGTCAAAGCATTAAGTTGTTTTGTTTGGAAATATAGGTTTTTGTTTTAGCTGCGCCTGACAGCAACCAAGGATTTTTTTGTCTGAACCCAATCTGACCCAAGGGCTAAAAAACTCTACTATTACTTGCTATATCTGGTGAGCTTAGAAATTAATGCAGCTTTTAAGTTGATGTTTGTTATAAACAAAGCTAACTAAAATGCCACACAGTAACAAAAGGAAACTAAAAAGCCCATAGGGTCTAGTTGGGTTCGGGCATAAAGTTTAGTTAGGGTGGTATGGGAAGACACTAAAGGTGTCAAAGGTGAGAGGTTTGAAGTCCAGTAGGGTTAGTGAGAGTTTAGTTAGCTTTGGTGAGTAGTTAAAGTTAGCAGCACAGGGACATCTAATCCACCAAAGGCAGAGGACATTGAGGATAATTGCATGTACACTCACGCACCCACACTCACAAACTACAACCACAATGTAGGAAAAGACACTGAGGGAACAAAAGACGACTTTATATTCATTTAAATATGAATGTTAAATTCTTTTTTGTGCAGCTTCAACAGCCATTATGGGATGTATTGGTTTTTTTCTTGGTTGGTGGGGTCGTATTATTTTGTGTAGGTCTCAAAAGGTCAGGCCTAATCAAGACTTTTAGAACTTGTTGCCCTGGCTGTCTTCTGACCAATTTATCTCATCTTTATGAAAAGCCTCTAGGTAAGACTAGCTATTTCCTGATAGCACAGAAACTCATTATGTTCCCTTACTTGTAGGAGGTTGAAAGAGAACCCAGTTAAACTTCAGAAATGGATTATCAGACCAGTGCTGAGATGTGACATCCTCTGTTTCACATTTTGATGTACTGAGAAATATTTCTGCACCACAATTTTTGCAACACATTATTAACCATTCTGCCAAGTGTGTAACAGTATGCCTACACCGAGGTGCCTTTCCCAGTAGGGACAGTAATGGTTCTGACAGGGCGTCAGACATAATGAGAATCATCTGTGACAGCGTATGTCAAAAACAAAGTCCGGTCCTACGGTCTGGTTTTCACCAACGGACAGACAGACAGGCAGGCAGCTGATGAGCCCTGGGATGACAAAACATGAGGCTGAATTCACTGGAGTCTGATTATTATCCAAAAGCTCTCTGCATTGCTATTGCAGAATTTTTTCCCCTCGTGAATTCACTCACGTTTTGTTCCTTCTCACTGCAAAAACAAACAGGTTGAAGAGATGTTTCCTTCAGCCTGTCCCTCCTTCCACCATCTGCTATCACCAGTATATTTAAAAGCTGACAGCCTACTTCCTCTATTGTGCGATAAAGCAATCCTTTAAATTTTCTGCCAAATTTATCAAGCAGCCAGCAGAGAGAGAAGAAGAAAAACAGATTTTTCGCTGTCTTTGGCAGTAGGCACATGCAGTTTTATAGTTTCAAACAGTGGTTTACATAAGCTTAAGCCTGTGAAGTCTAAGCCATCAAAGGTGAAAACACTAAAAGCAAAAGTGACCTACATATTCTGAGTTAAGGTTTGGGTTATTTGCTGATGATGGTGACTTAGACCTTAGAGAGTTAAATATGAGAAGATAAGTTATAATACTAAAGATCTGAAGATATTAAAGTATTGAAACTTAAGCAGTACTGGGGGCGGCTTTATGTCTGCTGACAGCTAGATTGGTAGTTGCAAATGAGAGTAGGCAAACATTTGAAAAAGTGTGTGATCTAGGTAACTAGAATTTCATCATGTCTCACATGATGCATGGTCACCTTAAAAGTTTACCAAGAAACTTGGGAAAAATGTTGTTTCCAGAATTTGATCAACCAAGTCCAGTAATCTAAGTTTAATAGGAGTTCCCAGTTTACCTTAATAGATGGAATCATTAGCAACCAAAAAGCCTTAGAGACTCTTGTTTATCTTTCTTTACAGTAAAGCCATACAGTCTACTTTTGACACCAGCAAGAACGGATATCACATGTGTGATCAACCTTATTAAAAAAAAAGACTAAAATTATCACCTGGTCGTTGATTGGTCACATTGCAGTTTAGATTACTGCTTGTTCAAACACATAATGTATGAAAACGCTCATGTCCCTTTATTAAATTCCTTTAAAGATAAGTGATTCACAGTCACATCCCCTGTATGTAAGTAATGGTGTTAGATACTGACTAGACAACTGTTTTTGCAGAAAATAGTGATGTGACCATAGATTGCTGGGGCCAGGAAAATAACTTTCCCAAAGAGAAATGAGAAACTGGGACTGCTACGGAGGGCCGAATATTCAGTCCAATTCTGCTCAATAGTAATTTTATTGGAAATGTTATCCCTTTATAAACCACTAATGGTAATAGTAGATGTTACAAGTAGATCCTAATTGTGACCCCTTGGGAAAATCAAATGCCCACTCTTAGACTAGCTGGATGTTGCCACCAACCCTTCTTGTTTTTGAATTCCCATTTTTGAAGCCTCAAGCTGGGTCACCAAGCTGTTCTCACCTTAACCTCTTTGAAACCACACATTATAATCTGGTTCTTACTCTGAAACCATCATCACAATATTTAAAAGCTGACAGCCTGCTAAAATACAGTTTACACTATCTTTTAGCAGGAGGCAGGTGTAGTTTCATAGAGTAAAAAAAAAAAAAAAAAATCTTATAAAACAACCAAAGTGTTTTCGTGGAGATATGAATGTGACAGTATAGCTATGGAAGGGACAGGAAGCAAAATGTGCAAAGGACTGCACTGAGACATTACAAGAATGAAACAAAGGTTTCATTGGTGTTGTGAGGGACAAAAGAGGCAGGTGACGTGTGATTTAATCACATGATTTATAAAACACTGTAAAAACATGTCTGCTATTAGCTGTTCACTGCTTATAGCTAGTTAGCTATAGCTAACTTATCTCTGCAAGTTTTCTATAGTATTGTCTCCCCAAAAAAGCCTCCGCTGTGTTTTGTGAGCTATTTTTTTGTGAGCTTATGTTGTGTTTTTCCTTTTTCTTATGTGTTTTATTCAGCTTTTTTCTATTTGCCATTGTTTTCTTAAGTTGCTATGCATTTGACCTTTTAGGGTTGCTGTACGACTCAGACCTCAGAGGGTTAAACAGCATTACTAAGATTTATCTATAGACTTATGCACAAGAAAACAGCTTTGAGTTCATGGTTTTAGTTTTCAGACATAACTTTGGTAGTCAAGTCATCACTGCTACACTGTCTTTATCAGAAATATATCAAAGGAGTTCATTTCAACAAAGAATTGTTGCTATTTAAATAATGCTTGGCATGACCTACTTTTCATTCCTACCAAACCTTCCTTGCCTTTAATCTTACATCCACATATTGACATCCCATCCAGCAGACACCGAGGTTGGGGGAATAAGGACACAGTAGACTGACTAGCACAAAGCCACATGAGGAACAGAGTTCAATGCGAGTTACCTAACTGGCATAGCAAGAAAAAAAGAAAAAGCAACAAGGAAGAACAGTGGGGGCGTTTGAAAGATTTACTCACGATATTCTACAGTCGTGGTTTGGAAGGCCGCCACACAGTGTGGAGAGGAAGAAGAGGAGACAAAAATGAAAGAGAAGTTAGCAATAGGGCCAGCCAAATACTCCACATACCCAAATTTTGGAGTGAGATTTATGTTCCAGTTCTCATTTTCAGGAGAGACAAAATGGAAGAATCCTACCTATAAATAAGTGAGCAGGGACTGGGATTCAAATATGACATGCACATTGAAAGAAGTGAGGAAGAGGAGATGATGACTGATGAAATATGTACATGTATGTACATCTAAAGTGTACCAAAATATCTCACCAGTTAGTTCTCAAGGACTGGCTATAACCAAACACTTAGTTTAATGTGTAGTCAATAATGTGTAGTCAATTAAACTGTGATATATCCATCATTCAGCCTGCCATTTAAATCAAAAGCGAGAGTCAGACCCATATATCAGTTTGACTCTAATACGGACACAGGCAGTCGGAAACAGATGGGGAAAGGAAGGTGAGACATATGGATAGCAAAGAGGGAGTGTGAGAGAGAAGAAGGGAAAAAAAGATCATGGTGGGTGCGCTTTGTCTGTTTGAGAGTCATAATTATAAGGTCAGGGTGATAGGTGATAATTAACCTGTCAGCAAGACTGGAACGGAGTTGTGTGTCTGCGTGTATGTGTGTCTTGGTTAAGGCACGTACACGATCTAGACCAACACATTTCCAGCTTTCTAAATGTGTTGATTTCAAAGACTCTTGGCTGCTAAGTTTAGAGGAACAAGTACTATGCACAACACTGGAAACAGGTGCGTTCCATTCAGCTGGTATCATTGTTTACTGGGACACTTGTTGGACCATGTTGTTAAAATTACTAAACTGTGCTTCTACCAGTACAGATCTAAAACATCCAGTTTTTCTATGGGCAACTGCTTATTTCTAAAAAAATGTCAAAGTGGCTTCCTATATTAATAAAACCAACGAGCAGAAATGTGTGAAAGCTCATTAAGACTTTGTATTAGAATGTTACATTTGTCTCTTGGAAGGAAAAGACTGGGGCCGTATCCTGCCAACATGGCAGCGAGATGCTGTGATGCACAGAGTGGGAGTGAAGGTGGATTTCCATGCCATACTCACGCCTGCATGGTGGTGGTGGCTGTCTGAAAGCTGAACATATTCTCTTTGGGGAACCAGCTGTTAGGATTGTCCTCTGCAAACACAAATAAGAAAAGGAAGGTGTGTGTCAGTGAGCATTACATTCAAACACAGGCCTTACAAATAGCAGTGGAGGTGAATAAAAACATGGTGAGAACGTGTTTAAATTCAGGCTCAGTTTGTTTATTCGTTTAAACCTTCACATTTAGTTTTATACCCCTGTCATCTGTAGATGCTCTGTCCTCACTGTACATTCTCTCCAGTTTTTTGCGTTGCTTCCCTCCATCTCGGGGTGAGGTATCTAGGTCCAGGGAGCGCTGACTTTGGCATGGAGCCCGAATGCAGGCAACGCAGTCTGGGGTGTAGTCATCCCGCGACCCACCTCTCCTCATTCCCCAATCACGAATGTTGCCAGCGCTACCTGAGCTCTGCAGCGGCTGCGATGATGCGCCTCCGTGATGCTGCTGGGCATGATGTTGGTTACTGCGGTGATGGCTGCTACGGTGATGGCTGCCACGGGCAGCTGAGGCGGTTGGTTGGCTGGTGCAGGATAGGCCATGACTGGCAGCAGAAGTGCTCTGTGAGAGAGGCTGCTCCCGGGAGCCCTTCAGCACCTCCAACTCCAGGCTCTCCTCACTGCCACGGCCCCCGAGGGTCATCCCGCCTTCCCTGGTGATTGTGTACACCCTGGCTGGCTTCACAGCAACAGGCCCCTGTGAACCCCTGGCAGCAGGTGGGTCCTCTATGGAAAGACTGCGTTCGGCAGAGAGTCGCCGTTTGGAGGGGCCAAGTGATGCTTGAGCCTGGAGAGTGTTGACTTGAGATTGAGACTGTGGGTTAGTGCTGGGATTAGACTGGCTGGACTGGGCGGGTTTAGCTATGGATAAACAACGGCTCTGTGGTGGCAGATTGTTGTTATGCAAGTGACTGACGTCTGGAGAGTCCTGGCCAGAGAAAGTTTCAGACAGTAGATGATCTGGGGATAAAGAGAAAGGGGATGAAGCAAAATTAACAAGAAAACATAGCAAGTGAGAGATAAATCATGCTGTCTGTTTTCTATATAGCTTTCATAAACGGACATCAGATAAATGCTTTCTATGTAAATAGAGTTAACAGGGAGCTTGCTTGTGTCTCTTTGGGATTTGTAGCTCTGGCAGCAGAGTGGTAAACATTTACTAGCTGCAAAGCTTTTGTGAGCACATGAGGAAAATAGAGAGGTGGCATAGTGATGGAAAAAAAACAAATAGCGAAAAGATGAAAGATTCAGAAATGGATGAGCCGGTACAGTCCAAGAAGCCCAGTTGTCCTGTAGGATCATGAAGGATGAATAGTTCTTCTCACTGTATAAATGGTTGCAATGCTGCAGGCTTGAAAGCAAGTGTAATCTGATGGGACTTGCTAGTTTTTCATTTTGTGTGTCCTGTGGATAAATAAGTATGGGTATAGTGCTAATATAGTGCTAATTTTCCGATGCCTTTAATTTAGTTTTATCACCTTATAACGATGTTCATTTTTTTAACAAATCTTTTTAATAATCATTGTCTTTCTATTTTAGACAATGTTTGTCCTGTCTAAACAAGACTACCTCCGGTTTCAAAGTCGTCTCCCTGGATAAATGACAGCATTCGCCTCTCAAAGCGTTGCCGCCGTAAGGTTGAGCGTTTATGGAGGAAAACGCGTTTGCATGTCCATCTCCTTCATTTAAAGGACCTTTTAGTCCCTTTTAACACTTCACTTCGAGATGCGAGGGCTGCCTATTTCTCAGACTTAGTGTCTAAGAGCAGAGGTAACCTTCTATCTATGGTACTATTCAACACCATTAGTGATATTGTTACTCCTGCTCCACCTGCTGTCCCAAATTCATCAAATGAAGATTGTGAAAAATTTCTTTCTTTCTTCGTTGAAAATGTCAGTAACGTCCATCCATCTTCATCCACTTATCCGAGGTCGGGTCGCGGGGGTAGCAGCCTAAGCAAAGAGGTCCAGACCTCCCTCTCCCCAGCCACCTCCTCCA